GGCGCTCCTCTCTCTAGGAGGTGGAGGGAACAGAAGAGGAGGTAGGTGGAGAGTAAGAAGCAGACCCCAGAAGGAAGCTCCTCCATCAGCGGGCTTGGCTACAAACAGAATTAACAAGGAAAGGAAAAAGGCCCCCACTAGAAGGAAAAAAAGAGAAACGGTGGAAGCAAGGGAGAGAGGTCAGGAAGAAAGGCAAGTGGCACGGCTGCAAAGGGAAAGGAGCCCATTCTGACCACCCTTGTAGCCGGACAAAGGCAAATCACTACACGTGGCCACTCCTGGCCCTGAGGTTATGGGTAAGCAGAGAAAATGGCATTTTCCAGGGTGATGTCCAGGGAGACAATTCACCAGCCGTGTGAGTACCTGTGAGTGCTGCGACACGTTCCCCAGGAGGATGGAGTGAACCATGGACAGAGAGGGGGAACACAGCAAAGGAGACCCTGCACCCTGGGGCAGTGCACAGGGTGTGGTGGGACACAGACACTCCCAGTCCCCCCATAGCCCTCCCCGGCGTCAGGAAGCTCAAAGCAGGGGGTGCTGCAGGACAGGATCAGGCCCGCCCCTCCTGAGCCCCATTCCTGCCCACACCGATCTGGAGGCTGACCACTTGGGCAGGGAATGGAAGGCAGGGATGGTGGATGGTAAAAGATGGTCAAGATAGACACCAAACCAGTGGGGGCCCAGGCCCAGGCAGCCATCCTCAGTCATGGGGCAGGCTCGTGAGTCTGCTTCACCCCAGTTCACCGGGGCCTCATTTAGGAACCCGCTGCCTGGCCCAGGGACAGGATAAGCTGCTGAGGCACGGTGACAGACACTTTCACTCACTGAGGGTACAACGGGCTCTCTCCAAACCTGCCCACACTGGGTCCCAGACCAGCGGCCTGGAACCGTCTCACAACAATGCACAGACTGAAAAACTTCAAAGCCTGAAAAAGCTGGGCCTCCCCCGCACCTTCCCCACCGTCCCCGACACCCCAGCCTTTCCGGCCAGGATTTACCTGTGAGCAGGATCATGGGCAAGCCTCACAGAGGGTTCTGAGGCTGTAGCTCCAAAGGCAAGGCCCACCCCCCATGACCTGTGGGAATCACAGCATCACCCAGTGGGAGTGGAGCTGTTGCCCAGGGAGGGGGGGAGAGGCATTCCTTAGGCTTCATGTGATCTCTGTCCAACCCCAGCTCCACCACCCAGCCATCAGGGACCCAAGCAGGCTACTTACCTTCCCAGCCTTCCCTCAGCCGAAACAGTGAGGGTCGTTAGAGTAAAAATTCAAAGTGAGACCATGAAAGATGTTCATTCCAAAGGACCATAAAGTTTTATGACCATCAACAACCACAGGGTTGAAATGGATTCTCTCCATTTTCCCCAAGGGCTGTGTCCTAGGCCTGCTCTGGTCAGCAAGGAGCAGAGAACTCCGGGGAAAGGCCTGGGAGGGGCTGTGCAGATTCCCAAGGATCATGCCCTGGCCTGAGAAAGGAGGCTTCACTTCCAGGCACAGTCCTCACAGGAGAACAGGGAGCCAGGGGTCCTGAGAGTGGGTGGAAGTGCAGGGTAGGAGTCAAAGGGAATGGCTCCGCGCTCCAAACCCTGACAGAGCACACAGAGCCGGGGGGTCAGGGAGAGAGGCGGTCAGAACTGGGGGCTGGGAGTCCAGGAGCCGCCAGATGGGTGAGCGCACACACAGCAATCATCCCTCCTCCCTCGCTAGGATGTGCTAAGTGGCCTGGGAGGGCAGGAAGGGAGAGGTCAGCCCCACCTGGGGTTTCACAGAGCTAATAAGTTTGGGGGGTGGGGAGGGATGGGAGGGACCTCAAATGGTGGCCAGAAAAAGAGCAGGTAGGGGAGGGAAGGCAGGCAAGCAGGGCAGGGGGGAAGGCATAAGCAAAGGCAACAGGCGGGAGCAGAGTTGGGTGAAGATGGAGAATCCAGGATGGCTGTGACACAACGGTGTGAATGGAGCTTGAGGAGGAGGTGGCTGGAGGCAGGTCAGGGCTGGACTGCAGAGGGTCCTGGATGCTGACCTCAGGGCTTCAGACCCTGCAGACCCTTGCCTGCGGGCAGTAGGGACGCACGGAAGGGTTTAAAGAAAGGGCCGGGCATGGTAGAACCAGAAAGATCTTGGGCAGCTGAGCGAGATCAGAGGTGCCAGGGGATATACAAAGGGAAGTGGAGAGATCAGTCCTGGGTGCTGGCTCCAGGTCAGAGGGCTGCCATGGTGATTACAAATCCACCTGGCCAGGTGGGCCTGCATTCCTCACCTGTGGTAACTTACTCCTGTGGCGGTTAATCCCACAAACATCCTGTATTTATTTAGGGCTGGTGGTGCCAGGTGGCAACTTGTCTCCCCTTTATCTTGGGTGGTTTTAGAGTTTCCTTAAAGTATGAGGAAGTGCAGTATGCACCCCACCCACTAGGACACCTTGATGTCCACTCTGCACCACGGTTCCAGTGCTGGACCTGGAGAGGACTTCTGTGCCTCAGAGCGGCATCCTTGGTTCCAACAGGCTGGCCGTCCCGGAACCCTAACGGGAGTCTCAGGCACTGGTGTGCTCGGGCAGAAGACCCGAGAACCAACAGCAATGCTTGTTCTCCGTGTCGACTGGTAAGCCCCCCATCCTTATTGTGAGATGTAAGTTCTCATGGTGCCTGGAAGGGTGCATATGGGAGGCAACCAAAACGGGGTGGTTAATAAGCTTAATGTGGACAGGGGTAGGCGCCACGAAAGCCTGTGAAAGCTCACCCCATGTGTGGAGCTTGAGACACAACCCTGTTCTGAAGGAGCTGGTAGGCTGACGTGGTACCTACATCCCCTGAGATTCTGTTATCTGATGGTTCTCGGCTTTATGTCCTTATCTGCTCTCCTCTGACTCCCTGGAAGCCACACAAATGAGAGGGAGAGTTCCAACAGTTGGTCCTGAGTGACTGAGGGGGGTGAAGCAGGAAGAGGGAGAGCAGTAAAGAGTTTATCACCTCGGTACTGATTAGAGAAAAAAGGCAGGAAGAAGGGGGGGTGAGGAGGAGAAACTCATCATTGCAGTAATAACCAGTGTTACTGAGGGTTCACCAGGTGCCAGGTGCTTCACAGCCCAGTGTGGGCAGTACTAAAACCTTGCCCTCCCACCAACCAGGAAACGGAGGAACTGTGCTGAACTCAAATCGAAATACTCGCCCTAGCCGGGCCGGCTCAGTGGATAGAGCATCGGCCTGCCGATTGAAGTGTCCCAGGTTTGATTCTGGTCAAGGGCATATGCCTGGGTTGTGGGCTCGAACCCCAGTAGGGGCATGCAGGAGGCAGCCAGTCAGTGATTCTCTCTCATCATTGATGTTTCTCTCTCTCTCTCTCTCTCTCTCTCTCCCCCCCCTCCCTCCCTCTCTGAAATCAATAAAAATGTTTAAAAAGAAATTTTTTTAAGAACTCATGCTGAAGGGCACTAGTTGGTCAGTGGCAGAGCCAGACCACTGACCCAGGCAGTCTGAGCTGGAGCTCACTCCCAGCCCTGGAGACCGGCTTTGAGAAGAAACTCCTTAGGGAGGGGCTGAGTGGCCTCGAGGAGAGAGTTGCTGCCCTGCAATGAGGGCACTAGGAACCGAGACAGGGTCTTGAGCTGCAGCCCTACAGTTACTTATGTGACTTCTGCTTCCCTTCTCTGAGCCTCAGTTGCTTCATCCGTGAAACAGAGCAGACATTTTCACACTATCTGGCCTCAGAGGTTCAGGCAAATGCCAGCAAAGACTGAAGGTAAGTTAGGGGGTGGAGGTTCTATTCTCTCTCTTTTTTTTTTTTGAGGTTCTATTCTTAAAAACTTAAGAACTACTGGACTAGAGGTCTCAGAGCCCCCTCCTATTTTAAGCCTTCTGTTTCTCTAATCTTTTGGTGTTTTTTTCTTCTTTATCTTTTTTCTAATTTTTTTTTCTTCTTTTCTTTCTCTCTAATCTTAATTGGGGTTGGGGATAAATGGTCAAAATGACAGTGGGGTGTCTGAGACAGGAAGACACTGAGAGGCTCAAATGACGCCTCTTTGCTCAAGAGTACATAAAGGTTGAAGCCTGATGCTACGAACTCCTTTATGAACGCCCTTTCTTCCTCTATAACAACTATAAAACAGAGAGCACAGAAGTTTCTAGGTTAAACTGGGGAGAGGGGGAATGATGCAGTGTTTCTCCTTGGCCTCTTTCTTTCAAAAGGCTTAGGTTTCTCCCCTGACTGGTGTGGTTCAGTTCTTTGTAGCATCATCCAGGACACTAAAAGGTTGCAGGTTAGATTCCCAGTTAGGGTGCGTATGGGAGGCAACCGAAGATGTCTGTGTCTGTCTGTAAAAAAAACACACACAAAACTGCCTCGATGATTAATCTGATTTCTCCAGGTCATGGTGCTGCAGGCTGACATGCCTCCAGCAGCTTCTTTAAACTCAATACACACATGGATCAGAGACACAGAGAGAAGCTCTTTTCTCACTCAGTCCAGGCCACATTATCTTCAGGGGACCACAAATAAAACTTCCCCAAACTTTTGCTGGGGCCTGGCATTCCCGCCTGAACTAAAAGCATTGTCTCTTGTGAATACCTCAGAAACAGCTGTTAAACCGGGTAAATCTGAAGTTAACTAAAGGTCTGACTCCAAATGGGTATTTCTATTTTTTTAAAAAGAAGACACACAGCTACCCAGAGACAGAAAATAGTCACTGCTTTATTTGGAGAGAATAAGAGTTGTTATTTTTCTCTCCATTTTGTTGGAAGGGAACTTCCAAAAAAAAACCCCAAACACACAAACAAAGCACCCCAGCAATTTCCTTGCCTAAAGAGTTACAGCAACAAGCAAGCCCACTGTATGGCATCTGGCCTATTTACACTAGTGAAAATAAAGAGGGTGATAGTGATCGAGCTGTAAAAATCAGATACCAAGGAAATTATGCCCTTCCCTTGCCCACCTCTTTACTCTCATATTTAGAGTGCGCGCACACACACATACTTCCTCCCTGGCTCCCCTTCCCAGACACCTCACCTGATTGATAACATAGATGCCGTAGTCCAACTGCTGACGCTGCAGGATTGGGTGCAGGTAATACAGCCAGTACTTGAGGTGTTCCTGCCGGTTGCGGAATGGAATAATGATGGCCACCTTGTGAGGAGAGACGCAGTCCTTGGGGGCGTAGCGACCACCCACCTTCACCTCGGGGTTCTGTTTCGCCAGAAGCGTCAGGTCCACGGGTACGTTGAACTCGATCAGCATGGGGCCAACTACAGGGGTGGAGGAAGGATAAGTTAGCAGGCTGTGGGACTCGCTGCTTCACAGGGGCTGCCAGGTGGCCAGGCCTCAGGAGACAGCTCTTCCAGAGAGGCAGTGCGGCCATGGGAAAGGCATTCGTGCCCAGCACCAAGTACGGTGTCCAGCACAAGAGTGACCAACTATCCCAGGAAACTCGTAGTACCAGGCAAACCTGGATGGCGGGTCACCCTGAGAAGCACTTGCCTATACAGGCCACACTCCCTTCAGACTCCGTGTTTCTCAACTGTAAAGTGGAAGCGGGACCATTTCTGGCCTGACCTCCAGGCAGGCTGCTGCGCGGATCAGAGAGCAGGGAGGAGAAAGCACTTTCTCAGAAATCCCGAGGTTGAGACCTAGCTCTGCCACCTCCCAGTCAGTGTGGCTTTGGACAGGTTCTCTCTGAACTTAGCCTAGTTGAGGAAACGTGTGTGTGTGTGTGTGTGTGTGTGTGTGTGTGTGTGTGTGTGTGTTGGAGAGGTCAGTGTTGAGAAAAGCAGAAGGTAGCAACGAGTGGCCTGAGTAACCCATGTCTCATGGGTTGATGCACAGATCAAACAAACTTGACGGGAAGGACTGGAGGAAAGGCGACCCCGGAGGAGACTGGGGGGCAAGAGAGAAGAAAACAGTTGGAAAGAACATCAAAGAAGAATGCTTAGTAGAAGGGAGGGAATCCAGTCAGGGATGACCGCAAGGTTCTGGCCTAGAAAGAACATGGCTCTAGATGAGAGAAATAAGTTAGTAGGAGAGCTCTTTGGCTTAGGTGAAAAACGGATGAGATGTGTATGGATGGTGGGTTTTTAGTTAGCGGCAAGTTAGGAGCAGAGGGAAAGGCCACGGCCAAGATCCAGATACAGGCATGGCAGCTCGTGTCTCCTAAACACAAACAGGTGGCGCTACCGGAGGGCTGCTGGGAACTGTCCCTCACGCAGCACAGATGGTGAGGGCAGAAGAAAGGTGACTGGCCCAGGGACACATAGGGAATTGGGGACTGAGTCATGACTTGAACCCAGGCCCCCAGTATTCTCTGTAGGACAAACTTTCTCAAAGAGGGTTCCACGAAACACTAATCTTAGCAGGATGCTTAACAGAAGAACATGTTCCCTGGTTCAATGAGGGCAGGAACCCTACCCACTAAATCCTGCTTCTGGAAAGTCAGGACGTACACCAAAGGCTCTGAGAAGGCGTGCAACCAAAAAACCTTCTTCACTTTACTTAACTCACCATCTCCAAAATGTACTGGGCCACAGAATCATTTTACCGGGGGACGCAGTTTGAGAACTGATACTCTAGTGCAGAAGTCCTCAAACTTTTTAAACAGGGGGCCAGTTCACTGTCCCTCAGACATTCCACACATGCGCACTGCGGGCCCAGGACGAGTTCGCTGCTAAGCAGGACAGGCAGCGGCAGCAAAAACACCCGGCGGGCCGGATAAATGTTTTCGGCGGGCCGCATGTGGCCCGCGGGCCGTAGTTTGAGGACCCCTGCTCTAGTGTAACCAGCTTCCCTTGTGAAGCAAACTAGTCATAAGCACAAAGGAACAGAGGTGAGAACGCTGACCACAAACTCAGAGCAAGTTCACCTGAAACATGCCAGTGAGAACCAGTGTGCACCCTCTGCCACCTTGTTTATCAATAGTATGTGGCTCTCTGAGCACCCGTCCCCAGAGATCACTACCCTCCTGAAATGAGACAACCGGAGAAAAGCAAGCTGTGACTCTTGCTCCTCCTGCCTGTTCACAGGTGCGAACTCGCCATCTCCTCTCCTTCTCCCCTCCCCCGCACCTCCAGTACACCACTCGCGTTCCCTCCCTCCAGTGCTGACCCAGCTCCATCACCACCGGACCTGTTCCCATTCATTTTCTTGAGACACAGCTCTGATCATTACCTTCCCCCTAAAAACCTCCCAGGGCTCTAAGGTCGTGTTGCCTTGGACAAGGCAAGGCTTGGCAATAAGGCCCTTCAGTCTCAGCTCTACCTCCCTCCCCCCGCTTATAAACCAGGCCTCTGACTGCACTTTTCTCTTTGCCAGAAATGCCCTTCCCTCTTTCCTCTAATGGCAAACTTTGCATGGAGAGACAGGCCAGAATCTTAAAAGCAAAGTCCCAATCTTGCCTTGTCCTTTCCCTTTCTTCATTACCACAGAGCTCAGACAGCCGATCCCCCGGGGTGAGGAAGGGGACCTTCAGGGTTCCAAAGCCCTGTTGCCTCCTGGGCCATGTACCTCCCTCTCTGGAGGGGCAGGGGCCTCACAGATCAGTCCCTCACTGGGCTGCTGGCTGACCCAGCTTCCATATCCTAGGGTACCCTCAGGTGAGTATTGGCTTTATACTTTAGGACTAAGTAAGGGGATGCCTGGACCAGTTTTCCCCAAACCTATCATCAGGATCACCTGAGGCAATTTGTAAAACATATGGACTCTCGGGCCCTTCCCCTAGAGAGCCTGAACTGGGGAGATCTTGGGAAGGACCTAGGTGAATAATCAACAAGGAGCCTAGATCAGTGGTCGGCAAAGCCAAATATCAACAGTACAACGACTGAAATTTCTTTTGAGAGCCAAATTTTTTAAACTGAAACTATATAGGTAGGTACATTGTTATTAACTTAATTAGGGTACTCCTAAGGCTTAGGAAGAGCCACACTCAAGGGGCCAAAGAGCCGCATGCAGCTCGCGAGCCGCAGTTTGCCGACCACGGGCCTAGGTGATTCTGGTCCTGTTTTTGTTGTTGTTAATCCTCACACAAGGATACTTTTCCATTGCTTTTTAGAGAGAATGGAAGGAGGAGAAGAGAGAGAGAGAGAGAGAGCGAGAGAGAGAGAGAGAGAGAGAGAGAAAGAAACACTGATGTGAGAGAGACACATGGACTGGTTGCCCCTCACTGGAAACGAACTCGGGACCCTTCAGTCTACGGGCCAATGCTCTATCCACTGAGCCAACCAGCTAGGGCAGAGCCTAGGTGACTCTGTCTGGGCAAGCTGGGCAATGGGGAGAGGAACCTCCCATCTTCACAAGTCTTGGGGCTTGCAGGCAAGGAGGGTCCTCAGGGTCTCCTACAACTCACAGGTCATAGAGGCAGCCCTTCCCAACGGGGTCCAGGAGGCCTCAACTGCTTGACTCCCCGGCCCCGGGCAAAGTCTTCTGGGAGGCCCTGCTGCACAGTGCACTTGTGAAAAACATGAAAAAGATCTGTCACCGGGCTCTTCTCACTTCAGAGGGCCCCACAACATCTGCAAAGCCTTTGCACCTTTTCTTCTCAAGATGCTACTAAACATAACCCCATTTTCAGGAACCCAAGTGCATCTGGGCTGTCACCCTACCACCTTACTCATACTTTCGGTCACCAGCCCAGAAGACAGGAATCCACACTTGGTCTGCCCAGCCCCCTAAAGCAGGCACCTGTAGGCTGGTCTTAGTTTTGCCCCTTCAGGAGTTCCAGAAAGGTGGTCCTGTGGTTTCCTGGAGAGGGGAGAGGACGCCTGGGCCCTGGTGTAGCTCCATCAGGGACTTGCTGGATGATCTATCTTTGGGCAAGTAGCATCTGCACTCAGGATACTGGCTTCCCCTTTGTAAAGTGCAGGGACCAGAACTCAACCTGCTCCAGAAGACTCCACTCCCACCGGCTCCTCCAAGGGCTCATGTGGAGCTTTATCACTGAGCAGCCTCTTCTCACTCTTTGCACCCTTCTCACAACCCCCATCATCTCTAACACATTGAAGGCACACTGACCGCCGGATCCTGCCTTCCCTGCCCAATCTGGCAATTCTTTCCCCACCTTCTCTCTGTGAAGCCTCCACCCCTCTGAGAATCCCACAGATCTCACCTCTGAGAGTGGATAGCACTTGGCAGTCAGTGGCAGCCCCAGACCTTGGGTCCAGTGCCAGCCAGGAGGCCTCCGGTAATGTCCGGCACATCTCCTGCCACCCACGGGAGCTGTCCTCTGCTGCACCCCTGGCTCAGTCCCAGTGAGAAAATTCATAGAGCTCAGACTCCAGGGGGGGCAGTGACCAGCTCTGCCCAGACCCTTGCAGACCTGGGGCCGGGTCTCAGAGCCAGGGCTGGAGGCCTCAGGGAGAGGCGAGGGGAAGAAACCAAGGGCTGAAGGCTTCATGACAGTCCTCATGCTAAGCCAAGGCTCCCTTGCTGTGAGGCGCACGGCGCGTGCTTCCACAGGCCCTCGGCCCCGCTGGGCTGGCTTGTGTGTTTTCTTGGCTCTGGGAGCTGGGAGGCAGGGTTACGTAAGCAGATGAGCAGATGTGAGCCTGTCCTCGGCTCCCCCAGCTAAAGCCCTGCCACGTGGGCTTCCCAGTTGGGAGTCCGGGTCATGGCCTTGCGTGTAAGTCACTCAATAACTTCAATGTGTGAGCTCAACTCAGACAAATTCCACTGCTCCCTTGCTCGGCACAGCAAGCCCTGCTAATCGAGAGCCAGTCCAGCGTAGACTCCTTGCCTCACTTTCACGTTCGCTGAACCACCAGAGTTCCTCAAGCTCCTCAGGCCAATCAGCCCCTGCTCCAGATGCCCAAAATACCCTTGACACCACATTGAGCCCTGTAGGATGAGAGCTCCCTGCTTGCTCCCTCATCTCTGTGAGGGCAGGGGTTGTATGCCATGCCATTCCTTTTTATACTTGGGACAGTTACTGGCAGAGCAGCATGCACAAACATGTGTTTATCCACACAGCACAAGTTCAACTACTAGTTAAGAAGCAGAGCTAACAGAGCAGGGAACCATTTTGCCTTTAATGTTTGAGAATGCAGATTATCCTACTACACATGTACAACCAAGGCAACCAAGGGCAAAAACACTCCCCATTCTGGGTTCTTAAGATGCTTTTGGTTCCAGGCATAGCACCTGATCTGTGATTGATGGGCGCATCCCCTCAATCCTATATAATAAAAGCCTAATATGCAAATCAACTGAACAGTGGAATGACAGGTCACTATGACTCACACTGATCACCAGGGGCAGGTGCTCAACACAAGAGCTGCCCCCTGGTGGTCAGTGCACTCCCACAGGGAG